CCTTTGTCACTATAAAATGTCCTTATTGGTCTCTAGGAAAAATTATCATAAACTTTGTTTTACATAATAAAGCCAGTCAAAGTCAGTCTCTTTTGGTTAATATTTACTTGGTATATGTTTTCTCATCCTTTTCCTCTCAGTCCCTTTGTATCTTGAATTTAAAGTTCAGCTCTACATAGCACATGGTAAGATCATGGCTTTTTATCCATTCTGCCAGTGTCTGCCTATTAATTGAACTGTGTAAGCCATATACATTTTGTTTAATCCCTAATCACATAGAATTGAAACCTGTTATTTTGCCGTCTGTTTTCTGAATGAGTTGCATCTTTTTGTTCTCCTGTTCCTCCATTACTGCTTTCTTTGTGGTGGTTATTTTCTTTTCTTTTCTTTTCTTTTTTGTGGTGGTTATTTTCTAGTGGAGCAATTTAATTCCCATGTTGTTTCTTTTACTATAGATTCTGGGTTATAGTCTTACTGGTTTCCCTGGGAGCAATTAGCATCTTAATTTATAAAATTCTTATTTGGATTAATACCAAATTAATTTCAGTGATTCACAGAGACTTGACTCATCTGTGGATCTGTTCCATTACCCTCCTGTATGCTGTTGTTATATTCATTATCCACTTTATGCTTTTTGTGTTCAGCAACACAGATTTACAATATTCTTGTAGTGTCCTTTTTAACCAGATAGAATAAAATAGTACATGGTTTATATGGGCTTCCCTCATAGCTCAGTTGGTAAAGAATCCACCTGCAATGCTGGAGACTCCGGTTCGACTCCTGGATTGGGAAGATCCCCTGGAGAAGGGAAAGGCTACCCACTCCAGCAGTCTGCCCCGAAGAATTTCATGGACTGCAGTCACAAAGAGTCGGAAACAACTGAGTGATTGTCATCTCCCTGTAGCATCCTTAGGCAGGAGGATGTGGGAAGGGAGTGAGGAGAGCTCTTGGTTTGTGTATCCGGGGCACGATCTCATGTCCAGGGATTCAGAAATCTCCATCCCCAGGGAATCATCTCCCTGTCTTGCTTCAGACCTGTCAGTCATCAGTGTTTGTGACTCTGGGCAAGTTACTCAGTCTCTCTAAATTTCAGTCTCCTGAACGGTAAAGTATGGGTCAGAGCCCCTACTCTGCCCTCCCTACAGTGTTGATCCCAAGAAATGACAGATTCTCTCCACCACTGACAGCTGAGGATTGAAATTTCCAGCTGGTATTATTAAGGAGTCTTTCTTTTCAATTCTGTCAGTTTGCTTCATGTATTTTGGAGCTATCTTGTTAAGTGCAAAAATGTAATGTTTCCTCCTTGAAAAAATGGACCCTTTGTCACTATAAAATGTCCTTATTGGTCTCTAGGAAAAATTATCATAAACTTTGTTTTACATAATAAAGCCAGTCAAAGTCAGTCTCTTTTGGTTAATATTTGCTTGGTATATGTTTTCTCATCCTTTTCCTCTCAGTCCCTTTGTATCTTGAATTTAAAGTTCAGCTCTACATAGCACATGGTAAGATCATGGCTTTTTATCCATTCTGCCAGTGTCTGCCTATTAATTGAACTGTGTAAGCCATATACATTTTGTTTAATCCCTAATCACATAGAATTGAAACCTGTTATTTTGCCGTCTGTTTTCTGAATGAGTTGCATCTTTTTGTTCTCCTGTTCCTCCATTACTGCTTTCTTTGTGGTGGTTATTTTCTTTTCTTTTCTTTTCTTTTTTGTGGTGGTTATTTTCTAGTGGAGCAATTTAATTCCCATGTTGTTTCTTTTACTATAGATTCTGGGTTATAGTCTTACTGGTTTCCCTGGGAGCAATTAGCATCTTAATTTATAAAATTCTTATTTGGATTAATACCAAATTAATTTCAGTGATTCACAGAGACTTGACTCATCTGTGGATCTGTTCCATTACCCTCCTGTATGCTGTTGTTATATTCATTATCCACTTTATGCTTTTTGTGTTCAGCAACACAGATTTACAATATTCTTGTAGTGTCCTTTTTAACCAGATAGAATAAAATAGTACATGGTTTATATGGGCTTCCCTCATAGCTCAGTTGGTAAAGAATCCACCTGCAATGCTGGAGACTCCGGTTCGACTCCTGGATTGGGAAGATCCCCTGGAGAAGGGAAAGGCTACCCACTCCAGCAGTCTGCCCCGAAGAATTTCATGGACTGCAGTCACAAAGAGTCGGAAACAACTGAGTGATTGTCATTTCCACTTTATATGTTTATCCTATATACATCTTATGTACTTACATTTACACTGTTGTCTTTTCAGCATAAAGGACTCCACATTTCTTATAGGTAGCAATGGATCCTCTCAGGTTTTATTCATTGGTAATGTCTCAACATCTCCGTTACTGAAGGGCGTCACTACTAGAGAATTCTCGGCTGACATTCAGTGACTTTTAGCAGTTGTTTGTTTTGTTTTGTTTTTTTGACTGCATGGCATGTGACTTGCTGGATCTCAGTTTCCCAACCAGGGATGGAACCCCAGGCCCTTGGCAGTGAAAGTGTGAGTCCTAACCGTTGGACCGCCAGAGAATTCCTTCTTTCAACGCTTGTAATGCACCATCCCACTGATGGTGCCCTTAAACGTAGTGGGAGGTTTTGCACGTGATCTGCCACTTCTTTTTTGTTGCTTTCATGATTCTTTGTCTTTGGCCTTGAATCATTTTATTATGATGCAAGCTTATTCATCGTATGAGGGCTACCCTCATAGCTCAGTTGGTAAAGAATCAGCCTGCAATGCAGAAGACCCCAGTTCAATTCCTGGGTCAGGAACATCTGCTGGAGAAGGGATAGGCTACCCACTCCAGTATTCTTGGGCTTCCCCTGTGGCTCAGGTGGTAAAGAATCCGCTTGCAACGCAGGAGACCTGGGTTCAATTCCTGTGTTGGGAAGATTCTCTGGAGAAGGGAAAGGCTACCCACTCCAGTATTCTGGCCTGGAGAATTCCATGGAGTGTATATACAATCCATGGTGTCGCAAAGAGTCAGACACGACTAAGCAAGTTCCACTTTCACTTTGGGCTTCCCTGGTAGTTCGGTCGGTAAAGAATTTGCCAGGAGTACAGGAGACCCAGGTTCAATCCCTGGGTTGGGAAGATCCCAGGGAGAAGGAAATGGCCACCCATTCCAGTATTCTTGCTTGGAAAATCCTATGGACAGAGGAAGAGGAGCCTGGCAGGCTACAGTCCATGAGGTCACAAGAGTTGGACACGAGTTAGTGACTAAACCACCAAGCTTATTTAACTTGGTGTTTGTCAGACTTCCTGAACATTGTGGTTGTGTTTTCCATTAAATTTGGTGAGATTTTGGCTAGTACTTCACATGGTCTCCCTTTCTCGTGTCTTTTTGGAGCTCTCTTTATGCATGTGGTAGTACACAGGTCTAATTAGGCTCTGTTCATTTTTCTTCCCTATCCCCTTGCCTTTTTTATTTAAAAAAGAAAAAACTGTTCATCAGACTGGAACTCAGTTATCCTGATGTCTTCAAATTTGCTGCTTCTGTCTTCCTCCTATTGAAATCTGTTCAGCCCTATTGTGGGTTTGTGTCCCCACCCCCAGTTAGGTATTAATTCCTTATTTGGAAATAAGGTCTCAAGTTTGGATTCACAGACACAGAGAAGACCACATGATATTGAAGGCAGAGATTAGAACAATGCAAAGGCAAAGAAAACCATGGAGCTCCAGAAAATGCCAAAAGCTAGCAAGCAAGGAAGAATTCATTTTCTAGTTTTTCATAGGGGGCATAGCCCAGCCTACAGCTTGACTTCAGATTTCCAGCCTCCAGAAGTGTGAAACAGTACATTTCTGTTGTTTTAAGCCATGTGGTTTGTAGTGATTTGTTACAGCAGTTCTGAGAAACTGCTGTTTCTCAGAAGCCCCTCCAGTGAAATTTTCAGTTACTTCCATCCTTTTCAACTCCAGACAGTCCATTTGGTTCTCTTTTATAAGTTTATCTTCTTTATTGCTATTTTGTACTTCAAAGAATATAATTTTCATACTACTGTTCAGTTTTTTAAGTATGATTTCTTTTGATTCTTTGAACATACTTAAATTATGTTCATAGCAGCAGCTATTTATAATAGACAAGACATGGAAACACCAGATGAGCGAGGGTACAGAGCAGAACAGAAGGGGGTCCCCCGAGATCTTGCACCCAGAGCAGGTCAGCCCCCACATACGCTGAGAGGGAGGAGGGTAAGGAGAGTGGTGTGCAGGTCGTGAGGCAGGTGCTTAAGAGTGTGCCCCTGGAGACTCCAGCAAGGGGCTCCCCTAAGCCTGTCTCATTCTGAGGCACTCATGGGGGAAGGCGTTCTGCGTTCACATATGTCCCTTGTTCCCGACAGTCTCAGCCCTGGACAATGTTTCTGGCAGGACAGTGGCCCGTCTAAGATGTCCATATTCTAATCTTTAAATTCTACCCACATGTTGCCTTATATGTTTGGAAAAGATAATCAAGGTTTCAGACAGAGCTAGGCTGGTTATCAGCTAACATGAAAATAGGGAGAATATCCTGGATTATCCAAGCAGTCCCAGCATCATCACAAGGGTCCTTAAAAGTGGAAGTGGGAGGCAACCAAGAGTCAGTGTCGGTGTGATATGAGAATGACTCCACTGAACATTGCAGGCTTTGAAGATGGAAGTGGGGCCCGGGAGGCAAAGAGTGCAGACAACCTATAGAAGTTGGAGTGGAGGAAACAGACTCCTGGAGCAGGAAAGGAGAGCAGCCCTGCTGACACGTTAAGTTTAGCCTGGTAAGGCCTGCATCAGACCTCTAACTCAGCGTCAGGAGGTTCATTATTCTTAGATTATATATTATTATTGCTACTTACAGCTTCCCAGGTGGCACAGTGGTACAGAATTTGCCCTGCAGGAGGCGCAAGAAACACGGGTTCAATCCCGGGGTTGGGGCGATCCCCTGGAGGAGGAATGGCAACCCACTCCAGTATTCTTGCCTGGAGAATCCTATGATCAGAGGAGCCTGCTGGGCTACAGTCCATGGGTCTCAAAGAGTTGAACACAGCTAAGCACACACACGTGTGCACGTGCACAAACACACACACACACTGTTACTTAAACCAAATTCATTCCTAAAAGACCTTAAATTGGTCTGCCCAACACCTACTCAGCAACATGAAACTTAGGTAGTACTGTGATATACTGGAGAAAGTTTATCTACTAAGCCTTTGGAATAATACAGCTTTCCCCTAGAAATATTTGATACCCAGTTTCCTTCATCTGATTTTATAAAGGACTAGTAGGCTAATGAAATCAGATAGTGTCCTGGTCACAATATTTCTATCAGTCTTAGAAAAGCAACAATTTTTTTTCTAATAAGTAGATTAAGAAGCCTAAGACCAGCATATATTTTTAATAATAAGACTGAATTCAATGATTTTTAACATGAATACCTTTATTGAATTTTAACTTTATAAGTCTAGAAATTAGTGTTACAAATAAATGACATTTGTATTGCATTTATAGAAAACATTCATAAAGTTCTTACTACTTTGAATTTGTTCCTTCCAAGTGATTTCTGTAGATCTCTCGAAACCTGCTACCATACATGTATTATCATAAATCAAATTCTAGCTTTAGAAGAGAATATGTTTAATCATGGAGACCATATATAGCTAGGTAGGACATTACCTGGACTGCAGTATATTTAAATAACTTGTTTTCATTTTCTTATAAGACAGGTTCAAACCTAAATGGTTAACCTATAATCAAAGCAATTATTTTTAAGCATATCATTTTGGATATATTCAAAGCCTGTCTATTCTCCCTAACCACCCCACCTCAAAAAAAAAAAAAACCACTCCATTTAGGAGTATAGGAAAATAAAAGTTTCACATGCTGTCTCTTAAGTATATTTAAAGGTAGGTTTAAGTGGAGAGAGAAAAAAATGTCTGCTTTCAGGAAAAACGTGACAACTTTAAACAGCTTATCTTCTGATGATGGTACAGCTATCACAATATGTCACATTTAGAACATGCACAAGAGAATTAATTAAACAAATGCTAACAAAGCCCTTTTTTACCTTCTTTGTGGAAAAATGACAAAATATTATGTTCCTGAGCTGCCAACTTTCAAATCCTTACTACAGCTCCACCAGAAAAAAATTGATTATTACTTGTGTACAAAGGATAAGCTATTTCACATGTAGGTTATTTCTTCCTTATAAAATATTAAACACAAATTCCCATTTAATTTTGCCACTGATAAATATTCGCTGTCCTCAAGGAAAAGGTTGTTTCAAAAACAAAGTAGGTATGATTTTTCCAAGTAGAATTTACTTGTTCATAGACATATTCTCCATGTGACTAATTCCCAACCTTTACAGTTATAGCAGCTTTACTTGGAGCAGAGGATTCAGGCACATTGAATCATAAAGTCTTTGTAACACATTTGAGAGGTTAAATTGTGAGTCAAAACCTTCATTGTCAGTTCTCCCACCTGGAGAAGAAAAGCCTCATGTTTAAGTTAGTGGTTGTGTTGAAAATAGCTTAAAATCTCTGAATCTCATCCATGTCAAGAATGGTTTTAAATTCTGATCATGCATCTGGAAAAAATATTTCAGATGTACAGATGCAAAATGAGAAGATAAATGTACAAATTATGTTTTTCAGCATCCCATTGTGCTTTCTTCTGTAGGTTAAAGGTAAAAGAGGTATTTTGACAGAGATTCATGTGGTTGTTGATGAAGACTCTGGCCCACCAAGTAAGCCAGCTTATGGGCATAATGGCAAGGAGCAGGAACTCGGATGATACCCTTTAGGAGAAAGAAAAAACATTTTTTTTAACCTTTATGTTTACTTCCCCTAAGTTTCAATTTTTTCTAGATATCCAAGTTTCAAAAAGTAGATTCAATTTTGTACAGTTTCACAGATGTGAAGGAAAATCAGTATCAAAAAATACCACAGCCACTGTGGAAAACAGTATGGAGGTTCCTTAAAACCAAAAATAGAGTTACCACATGATCCAGCAATTCCACCCCTGGGTGCATAATCCAGAAAAGAAGAAAGCTTTAACTCAGAAACATGCATGCACCCCAGCAACACTATTTATAATAGTCAAGACACAGAAGCAGCCTAAGTGCTCAGCAGCAGATGAATGGACAAAGTCCTGGTATGTTTCTCTGAGAGCATACTCACTCAGCCATAAAGAATGAAATGACGCCATTTGTGGGAGCATGGATGAATCTAGAGATCACCATGCTACCTGAAGTAAGTCAGAGACAAATATTACACTGTGCCACTTATGTGTAGAATCTAAAAACCAGGGTGCAGATTTAACTTATTTACCCAGCAGAAGTGGACTTACAGACACAGAAAACAAATCCATGCCTACCAAAGGAGAAAGGGCAGGGGAGAGGGATAAATTAGGAGTCTGAGGTTGACAGATGCACACTACCAAACTGAAGGGAAAAAAAAAAAAAAAAACTTACTGAAAAATTGTAATACATGTGGCAGAGTTTGTAAGTGAGACCCTGTATTGCATCCGGGCTCAAGTAAAGCGTGTCGTGGATGACGTTATAATGAGTGGGAGTGACAGTGCCGGTCCCTTCCCGCACAGACTGACTCACAATGAAAAAATCGTACCTAGAATTATAGAACATGTCAGTCTCACGCTTATTTTAGAAGAAAAATGATGTAGCAAACCTAGCCTCTGAAGTAACATTAATTTATAGAAGTCCATTCTACCAACTTTCCTTTATATTTAGAAGCCCAACTAACTGTTGAGCAATGGTTCGCTAAAGCACATCTACAAGAGACAGGGAAATCATTGGCATGATTAATAACACTCGTGGGATTTAAACTCAAAAGCATATGTGCTGATGCCCAGAGGCAGCAAACTTCAAAATAGCACATTAGACGTGGTCACAGGTAATGTGATTCAGGGAAAAATAGAAGTTTCTGTCTTTCAAGTAAGTCACCAGAATAGATTCAAACACCCTAAATTATGTAAGTGGTAAGGTAACCAATTTACTGTCAGTGTTGAATGTTTATATCATTTTATGTTATGCTTCATGTTTATCCTATTTTTCACTGGCTTTGTTTTCTTCGGTCCTTTCCTGCCTTCTATTAGAAGAATCGGTGTTTCTGCCTTTTTTCAAATTGTGTTCGTTTCTCCCTCTCTAGTGGCATGAATGTCCTGTTTATTTCTTGCTGTGTGTTTTGCATAACTTTCTTATTTGCATAATTTCTTGAGAAGTTCAAAGTTAACCAGAAGTTCTAGCATTTCTACCTAACACCTGGGTCATCTTAGAATGATCGATATATTTGTCTGTTTTTTAAATTCTGAGAAACAAAATGAAGACAGAAAAAGTTACCGTATAAAACACAAATCATTTTTTAACCTTCTTTAGGCCAATTCTTCCTTTCTCATCGAAATTATTCAAACCTTGAAAAATTCTTGCTATTTAAATAAAAGGGAACCTTTAAAATAAAGAAAGGTGGCTTACCATTCTGTCCTAGTCACCTTTAGGTCAATAACTGTTCCTGGAGATGGATTGTTAAGTCTCCCTCCATCCTTTCCAATAAAAAATCTGGTATTTATTCGTTTCTTCACCACGATGAAAGTTAGTCTGACCCTTAAAAGATTATGATCACTTGTCACTATTTGCTCTGTGTTATCTCAGAAGCATTCAGAATGTCAGAAACAGCCCACACTTAGGAGCCATTAAAGGGAGTCTGCAGATGGCAGGCGGCTTTCTGCCCACCCCAGTTTTACTGTCTTAGCTCCACTAGCCTGATTCAGGCAGTATAGGAGGAGGTTCCGACTCATAGCCATTCAGATCCTAGGGGGAGGGTCCTCTCCTCCCGAGGTCAGAATTATTTGTACTGCCTATGCTGGGCACCAGGCCTCACTGACAAGCAGATGAGACCAGAGAAGGGAACTGTGAGAAATCCCCAGCCCTGGGATGTACAGAACTCCAGGATGGAGAAGCTGGATAAGTGCAAACTACTGACAGGCTGTATTCATGGATGCTAAAAATATCAGAGGTTAGCAAGCCCTCCTCCATCAAGGTTTGGCAGGAGATTAGATAAAGAGAAAGCTTCCTGGGTTCCCAGGTGGGGACACAACCTACTACTTCAGGGCTTCTGGGGAAAGGTATGTTTTCTCCCCAGCCACCCACTGAAGGCTGCTGTATCCAGCTCTCCAATTTACATACTACAATACTTGCAGATACTCCTCCCCGCCCCCTGCCCCCCAACCTAAAATGCAAGACTTACAAAATCTGCTCTTTATAATGTATATACCTACTTTTGTCCTCTGTAAGCCTTCTCTAAGTAGGACTCCATCTGTTTCACTTCTTGATCTATCAGCGCTTGAAGCTGCCCGTCTCCCACTCCATCTCGATACACAATGATAGAATGTGGCAGAGATGAATTTTGTTCATACCAGAGCTTCAGGGCAGCTGAAAGGAAGTCAGAAACACATATAAATTGAACCATAACTTTTAGAACAAAGTGGGCTACTATTTCTGACAACTTCTGGATTCTTCTGTCAATATGGTGGCTTTCAGGACACTGCTAAAGTCCGCTGTCNGACTCCTGGGGAATTCCACTAGGTACAAACCCTGGGTTTTTCTGGAGACTCCTCCTTCTAGGTCAGGAGTCATCCATATAAATGGATTAAACAGCCCTTCATCCATATGAATCTGCTTGGAGGGAACAGTTTTCTTCAAAACAGCAGTAGGTACTGTGACCAGTGCTCAGCGTATCAAGGACAATCACCTATTTGTCTTGAGTATCTATCCCCTTACTGCATTTTCGTTCACTTCAGAGTCTTGGAATGACCTGATAAATGGTCATGACATATGTTTGCCTCGTCATCTGAATTTGCACTCAGTGGATGGGGTGAGGCATTCTGGCTCTACATTTTCACTGCCTTCTCAGGATTTACACATAGCAAATGCTTGTAAGACCCCGAGAGCCCTGCCATGACCGCCATCTGACCCACAGGACTGCCTGTGGTCACGTGGGCATTATCTTTAAGTGGTCACATTTGTCACAGTTGTTAGACAGCAATAGAGAATGGCCAGAAGCTTCCACATAGAATGTCCTGGGAGCCTAACTTTGCCAGAAGGTCAGGAGAGCACATCGCTAAGAACCTGTCCCTGGATCTTGCCAGCAACGTGCATGAGGGCCACCTCTCTCATCTGGCCTCCCCACTAAACACTCCCAAAGATTAACTCACCGTGTCAGGTCTGGATCGATGCTTGCTACAAATCCCGCAACTGACTTCCGTCGATGTTCAATATCATGGAAACAATCGATACCGATGAACATTGCATTCTGCAGCTTAAGTTTTAAACAGGGTAGGAGATTGAGTTAGAACAGAACACAAAGCAAATTTACAATTTAAATAGGACCTTAACAAATTCTGCCACAGACAGATGAAAGCAAGAGAAGCCAACAGAATCCCCACGTACTCCTATGTCCACCTTCCAGAGGGCACCTCCCAGCTTGCAGTTCATCTGCAGAGCAATTTTTGTAGCTATGGTCACTGGCGTCTTAGGTCTGTCCAAGGTCCGTTTCAACACGCACTGGCTTGGAATTGGGTAATTGATGCACAGATATCTTTTTATGCCATCGTAAATTTCCTTGTTGTCGGTGGGCAGCAGGCAAAGGACCTTGAAAGGAAGCAAACATGAAACTCCCTGAGATGCAAGAACATGATGATGTGAGAAATGGATGCTGTGTTGCAAAAGCTATGTAGGTGGAGCACTGACAAAGTAGGGCCTGTTTAAACAGATACCTGAGTCCATGAGCGCGAAGGGTCTAGAATCACACATTCAACAACTGTGAGTGTGAATGTATGGAAGAAGACAGGCTGTGAGATATTATTTGGAAATACGCATCAGTCCCTTAAACCTGCAAAACCCTTTTATGCTGGTCATTTGATTTCGAATGACATAAAGTCATTCGACTTCATTTTATCATGAAGTCGACATAGTGGGTTAAGAACATGGACTGAACTATACCATCACCAGGATGGTCACCATCAATGGATGATCACTATGTGTGGGGCACTCACCAAGCATTTTACTTGATTTGGTTAATTATCTCAATGGTCTACTTAGATACACTATTATCCCCATTTTACCCCCCCCCCCAATACCAGCAAACAAATTTGGGGAGTTGTTATAGAAATTGCCTGATTTACAAGATTCCAAACTCTCGCCAGGACCTCTAGTAGGATACTAAGCAGTTAGGAAGAGAGGTTCCTGCTTAACTTGTTTCTGACTAATGGGAAAAAATCATCAATATATTCTTTTTAACATAATGATACTTATAGAAGTTTTTGGCAGACATTATCAGATTAGGGCAATTCTTTTCTCATTGTAGATTTAGCAAGTTTTTCTTTTTACATGAAAGGGTGAAGTGAAAGTGGCTCAGTCACGTCTGACTCTTTGCAACCCCATGGACTGTATAGTCCAGTTCTCCAGGCCAGAATACTGGAGTGGGTAGCCTTTCCCTTTTCCAGGGGATCTTCCCAACCCAGGGATTGAATCCAGGTCTCCCACATTGCAGGCTGATTGTTTACCAGCTGAGCCACAGGGCCCATGAAAGGGTATGGGATTTTATTAAATCCATTACCTGTGTGGATCAAGAGAAATATTCACCATACTATAATTCTCCACACTAACCAGTTCATTTTTAGGAAAAAAATAAAATATCAAGGCCATAAGACCCAAAGACAGATTAAAGATACCTCCCAGATTAAAAGAAGACTAAAAAAAATTTTTAAAGCCTGTCAGATGCCTCAGGGGACCCTGGATGAACAAAGGAATTAATTTTGCCATAAAAGGGGACAATTGGTGGAATTCGAATTAGGTGTGTAGATCAGGTAAATGGCTGAGGAAAAACACATATATATACACTTTTGTGTGTCTGTGTGCTTATCCACTCAGTTGTATCCGATTCTTGGCAACCCCATGGACTTTATAGCCCACCAGGCTCCTTTGTCCGTGGGATTTCCCAGACAAGAACACTGGAGTGGGCTGCCATTTCCTCCTCCAGGGGTTCTTCCCAGCGCAGGGACTGAATCCATGTCTTCTTCATCTCCTGCACTGGCAGGTGGATTCTTTACCACCGAGCCACCTGGGAGACCCATATACACACCTGTAGCTGCAGTGAATAACGACACGTGAATATACACACACATATTACATATATAGTGAGAAGGGAAGAATGGTTATATGTCGGTAGATAATAGAGGGCTTCCCAGGTGGCACTACTGGTAAAGAGCCTGCCTGCCAGGGCAGGAGACTTTGGAGATGCAGGTTTGATCCCCAGGTAGGGAAGATCCCCCGGAGGAAGGCCCGGCAATCCACTCCTGTCTTCTTGCCTGGAGAATCCCCATGGACAGAGGAGCCTGGTGGGCTACAGTCCATGGGGTCACAAAGAGTCGCACACGACTGAAGTGACTTAGCACAGCACAATACAGGTGGGTGTAGAGAGGGCAAAAGAATGTTTATAGAAATGTGATAAAACATACTGATTGGGAAACCTGAATGATGGCTGTAGAGAGAGTTGGACTGTCTTTGCAACTCTTCCTATAAGTCTGAAAATATGAAAAGCAAAAAGTTTTTAAAATCTCACAAAAATAGTGGAGGTTTTGCACTGGATTGATGTGTACCCATTTTTAAAACAAAAATTATAAAAGATCCTCACAATGGGGACTGTGTTCACAGTTGGCATTTTTACTGCCAATACTGGATTTTGAGGAGTAGGTAGTATTATGTATTAATAGAAGCTGATTACTTTATTCTTTTTGCCTTAAGTTATTAACTCAGTAGTAGATTTCTTTTCCTTCCTAGTTTAAAAAAATCTATAGGTTAAATGTGTTTTTATTTCCTATATTTCTGCCTTATTCCTCCAACTCACATGTTTATAGGAATTAAATTATTTATTATTCAAACACTTATGCTTCCTTATCATGACCTGTTTAAAATAGTGATCTCTAATCTTTTTGTCTGCCATGAGGAAAATATTCCCAAACTATGTGAGTACTTATGAACTCTTCTAGTATTACCACTAATTCACTTTAATATTTGAGAAGTTAACATTTAATTTTAGATATAAATATGTGGCTTGATATCTACCCATCACATTCAGTGGGTTACTTTACACAGACCACTTCTGGCCCCCCACCCACCCAATGCCACACAGGCTTTGAAATTTGTGAGTCACGAGGCTTCAACCCTGCTTATACACATGATAGGGAGACTTCCATTTATGCATAATTTTCAGTTGCTGTTTAATCAGTCATTCCAGTTGTTTGGAGTGTATAAGATTATAGGCATGCTCTCCCCACCATCTGAAACAAAAAAAAATACCTTAAAATATTTAAGGGGCACCTTGAATAAGCAATATTGTTCCAAAAAGCAAAGCCAGGATAAATGGGTAAAAGTGGGACATGTTCCCATTCAAGATACAGATAAGCTTTCTTAAAAGACATCCCCACAATTAGAAAGGCAGTCTTTCACTTTGCAGGCAAATGCTCAGTGGACAAAGTCATGTCATGAGTTGGGATGCAGACCCACCACCATGGCCTCTTCAAAGCCATTCTAACATGTGAGTCTTTGCTGAGTCCCACCAGAAGCTTCCCTGCCCTAGCTAAGCATTTAAGGCTACAACGCCGGAGAAGAATTAAGCATGGAGTTCAATCACAGTGACAGGAAGCAAGCACACAAGACTTACAAACAGGATTTCAAAAGTAAGACATTTCATTTGAGTATGATAATGGCTCACAGAAAGTAGCCATCACGCATGTGTGCTAAGTCGCTTCAGTTGTGTCCGACTCTTTGTGACCCTATGGAATGTAGCTCTGTCCATGGTGGTTCTCCAGGCAAGAATACTGAAGTGAGTTGCCATTTCCTACTCAAGGGGATCTTCCCAATCCAGGGATCGAACCTGAGCCTCTTACATCTCCTGCATTAGCAGGTACGTTCTTTACCCCTAGCATGGTGACTCACAGAAGGTAGCATTCAGTGTAGCCTAAAAGTGTCCCAGGTAGAAGCTGAAAGGAGAGAGAAGTCTAGGCTCTATGGATAAGACAATAGGAGGAATATCCTGATCTTGTGATCAAGAAACAAAAGGTTCCTTTCAAGAGCATTTTGGATGATGAAGAATGTGAGATGAGTTTGAACAAAGCACCCAAAGAAGGAAGGAAAAAGAAGTAACTTTAGTAATTTACATACCACATTTGTTGACAGCTTGGTCTAAGACACTGGATGGGGAAAAGGAAAAGTCCCAAGAGAAACACCAGACAAAAGAAAGGACACTTACTGGAAGAGACCAGATCATAGACTTTGCAGGTTATAGCTGGAGAGAGAAATAATACACACGTGACTACCATAATCCATATTACTCAATATTTTTATGGTGTTTTTCAGTTTGAGACTTAAAAATTAATTCTAAGTCCTCAAGCCTGAAAGAATGAGCATAACACAATGATATTAGGTAGTAGCTAAAACCCCAAAGTCTGTATTGAGCTACACTACAGGGGTAAATTTCTATTTTTTGACTGATTTGGGAAACCAATGGCAACATCTCAATTCAAAGATATTAATACATGCAAATGCAGCTCACTAAGGAGGGGGCACACGTCACATAGACACTTACCATCTGTGTTTTTTGTGAAGCGTGTTTTTCCAAGGTTCTTATGTAAGATTGGACTGTATCAGCTGCTTCGAGCCTAGAAAAGAAGTATTTCATATTTCAAAAATAATGAACAGTGAAACATGTAACATTTTACACAGCTGATGACACATTAAAACAAGATGAGCATTTCAGCTGAAAGTTTTTAAGACAAAACCAAGTTCAGTTTTTGGAAATAAGACTGGAAACTAGTTTTTACCATCTTCCCCCCTCCACCCCACCCACTTGCTAATTCTCATGTCTTCAAGATGAAGCCCAATAGCCAGAAATCTACAGATCCCAAGAGTCTGATTTAATACATGCAGGCTGGAGCAGACTTTACTTATTTGCTCACACACATTTCAGAGTTTGGATAACATGACAAGAGTCCTACAGTTTCAAAACCTTCCACTTTCAGATTGCCAGCAACCAGTTTTGAATAAAAAAAAAAAAATTCTGCTCTACTTACAGTTTTGCATTTCTAACAGTTATGCCCATTTTGGGTGTCACTTTCTGTAGATTCTGCTGCAAGTTCAGGGCTGTTCCATAATTTCCCTTAGTATAGACTATTAGCCAATGATCCAGTGACATTGCTCTAAGTAATGGTACCTCCCTTGTGTTTTTTGACCAGTCTGCTTTATGGTTGTCAAACTAGAAGAGAGTTCCAAGCCATGGTGTAAAATTCATTAAAAAAGAAAAATTGACATCATCTAAGATCCTTTCCATTGTAAATGCTGTGATATTTCCTATTGAAACATTACCATTTAAACTTCAGTCATGATAGGATTTTTAAAAATACTTTAAGAATAAGTTTATTGTAACTAATATAAAATCTGATATGTTTTCAAACATGTTTTCTAAAAAAGTAACCCCCTCCCAATTCCCCCTTCCCCACAAGATACAGTTATAAGAACTTGGACAGAGTTCAAGTTTTAAACGTGAAATTCTCACTTATTATTTGATCCTTGAAAGCTCCAAAACATTATATTCTAAACAAAGGTCCATTAAAATCAAGAAATCAATAAGCCACTTGCTTTCTGCTGTCATTATGATGCTTATTCAAAATGCTGAAGGAGAACAGGTAACACAACACTGCATGAGACAAGTATTCAAACTGCATGGATTGGGACTTCCCTGGTGGTCCAGTGGTTAAGACTCTGTGCTCCCAATGCCAGGGGCTCAGGTTTGATCCCAGATCAGGGAACTAGATTTTTCATGCTGCAACTAAGATCCAGTACAGCCAAATAAAAAAAAATTAAGTGTATGGATCTATGAAGTCACAAACAATTGAGATGAGAATACTGGGAGTATTAAACACTGACTTAAAAAAGCAGTCTTGAAATCTTTATCCATTGTAGACTTCAGCAGCTGATCTAATAGCTATTTTTCCTTAAGATATAGGTTAGTAACACTGGAGTTTTACCATGAGTTATTCTGGGTTATTTTGATTTTAGATATTTGACTTTTAAGGATATTGTGACTCTTAAGGATACATTTGGAAGATTATTTTGCTACAAGAGAATGTACACAATAATATTAATAACAAAGATATAATATATAATACATATGAGTTGAGTTTACTATATGCCAAGCATGTTACATGCATTTTTATTGAATGCTGACTTGTCCTCTCATAGATAAAGGACAGGTAGTCTGAAAAGAGTTATTGACAGAGCCAAGTTAGTCCCACTTTGGGTTGTTACTAATTTGACCCAACTCTGACATAATTCTGAAGTTCTTACCATCCTTCTTCCTTGGTGAATTCTTACATCTTGCAAGGTTCTTCCAGAAAAGGACAAAAACCCCGCTTCGAGTTCCAAATTCCAGTCTCGAAGCTCCTTCTGCACAGTATTATTTCTGAAAGAAAAGATATTTCCACATGACCAAACCCCAGAAAATAAGCAAGGACAATTATCCATGTGCAAAACACAAGCCAGTATTTCTCTCATCTGAAGTTCCTCATTGCTTGTCCTTTGTGTCAAGATGCTACCAATAAACTCCCTAAACTCTGAAACAATCTTGTCTTTGTTCTCACATTTGTGCGGGCACTTACCCTCTCTAGGCCTCCTCTAACACAGCAATGACAGAAAAAAGGAGTTGCCCTTCCCTCCCCAATCTCCTCCCAAATATAATTTTCTTCCCAATCATCACTTTGTAATTGAAGAACTCTGAGATGCCAAGTGATCCACACAGGTCTTCACTTCATACTCCCAGACAGAAAAGTAGCACTTAGTCTGCATGGCTTGTGGGATCTTAGTTCATCAACCAGGGATTGAACCCATGTCCTCAACAGTGAAAGCAGAGTCCTAACCACTGGATCACCACGGAATTCCCAAGCACTTACTTTCTTAAAGCATCCATAAATGTTAGCAGTTTATGCTGCCTTCTATCTGGATCCATCCTCGTGTGGGCAGACAAGTCTCTCATCATTCTGTAGTCTTTACGCATGTCATCCGTTAAGCCTTTAAAAAAAAAAAAATCTGAAAGATAACATGCTGAACCAGTAAGAATAGATTTGTATTAGAGGAGACTTAACTGTTGTGTCCAGAAGGAGGAGGAAATCAGAGAGAACACAGGTCTGGGTCATGTGGAATCTTATGAAAGAGCCTATAAAGTAATATTGGTGACTTTAAAGAAGGGGGGGTGTCTTTTATGAAGATGGGATAAATCCGCAGTACCTGTCAGGTGGCACAGCTCAGGAACCAGCATGATAGGCTGATGAGATGTGTCCTGCCGGCTCTTTTTCCATTTGCCTTTGGTGATCAAAAGTGGCTGATTTAAGGTAGTGACCACTGTACCATACCGCTGTTGAACAGAACAACGAACACTGGCATGACTATTAGCAAAACCTTAGTAACGTCACATAAATAGGTGCAAAGGTATATTTTCGGATCACAATTGGAGGCCCAGAGGTGGTGTGATACAGTTTCCCCAAGTTGAAGAAAGCACCAAAAATATTCTAAATGTTCTCTTGATTTGATGTCCCAGGGGTCACTGATAAACATAGATGGCCAAGGAGGATAGGACACCCACCAAACTATAATGGAATCATTGCACTACCCTTTTTAATATAGATGTAGATAGGTGAGAGGCTCTCGGAATATGTATTTCTCACCACAGTAATGCCTTCAAACTTTCTAAAACATATTGAGAACTTTCAAGAGGACTCCCATTACTAATAGGGAACAAAAAAACCCTGGCCACTTTTTAGAGGGGCAGTTATACATCTATTCCCAGCATTCCTCCTTGTTTATTTGCCCTAAATACTTAGCCCTGCTTCCAGTAGGAAAGGCATCTTCTAAGACTTCACATACAGAAGTTCCTATCCCTAAGGCAGCAAATTCTTGTACAACAGGGTGTCTGTGCTCCCAACCCAATGTGCAGATTCTTCATAGATTTTGTTCTTAAGCTACTTGTTAGCAAGGTCCTCGTCAATAATAAGTTAGCCACATGAATTGCGGTATCATCTGGCATTTAAAGGCTTCCCTGATAGCTCAGTTGGCTACTTGTTAGCAAGGTCCTCGTCAATAATAAGTTAGCCACATGAATTGCGGTATCATCTGGCATTTAAAGGCTTCCCTGATAGCTCAGTTGGCTACTTGTTAGCAAGGTCCTCGTCAATAATAAGTTAGCCACATGAATTGCGGTATCATCTGGCATTTAAAGGCTTCCCTGATAGCTCAGTTGGTAAAGAATCCACCTGCAGTGCAGGAGACCCCGGGTTGATTCCTGGGTCAGGAAGATTTGCTGGAGAAGGGATAGGCTACCCACTCCAGTATACTTGGGCTTCCCTGTGGCTCAGCTGGTAAAGAATCCACCTGCAATGCAGGCAACCTGAGTTTGATCCCTGGGTTGGGAAGATCCCCTGGAGAAGGGAAAGGCTACCCACTCCAGTATTCTGGCCTGGAGAATTCCATAGAGTGTATAGTCCATGGGGTCACAAAGAGTCAGACACAATCAAGAGACTTTCACTTTCACTCAGTGGCATTTAAGCTTCTGGGAACTTCAAAAGGAGCTTGTTCCCAAAACAAAAACTCCAGGCTGTACACCCTGTGAGTCCAGACTCATCGACAGGCCCAGAGAACATGCTTTAACTTAACCCACTTTGGCAGAGTAATGATATTGAACTCACCACATCTGTACATGGAAGAGAACTGTTCACTGAGTTAGGTTCAGGTTATAGGACTGGATTTTAACACGTATGACTGGAAGTAGGGCGTCAGCCTGCAGCTTTCAGCCTAAGGGACCTAAGAGCCAGTAAGCCGCTGCTTCCTCTCGTCTAACGCCACAACCTTGGAGTCCACTTGTTAAGACGGTAGAGCCACAAAATGGAAACAGATGGGATCTCCGAGCCTTTGAGAGCCAGAAGTCTTCAAGCCAGAAGTAAACCTTTTAAAGTCAACTCTCTGATATTTCAGCGTGCAACTCCATCAGTGCCTGTCTCATCCCCAAGCCAGCTCCTCCCATAGACTCCCCCCAGTTCAGTAAATAATGCTTCCATCCACTCACTTCCTCAAATAAAGCCAAAGGGTTACATTTCAGTCACCCCTTTCCATCACTTATCACATCCAAGCCTTCACTGTATCCTCTCCATTTCCACCTAACTTCTCCCACCCTGCTCCAGACCAACCACCATTAAGTCGACTGATTCACTAACCTTCTCACGGGTTTCCCTTGCTCAGTTTTTACCCCCGTGCAGCCCATTCTCTGTACATTAGACAAGACGTCTACAAGTATCTGCATAAGGTGATTGGATGGTAACATCCAATTTCTCTCGAGAACACTCCACCCTTGTTTGGGCTCTGGATACACCATGCCCATCCTGAAAACAGTGTCTTTATACCCTCTCTTCTCCCTCATCCACACCCAGCTTGCTCCTTGCTGACATTGGGTGTCAGCTTCTCCGAGAAGCTTTTGAAGAATATGCAAACCCAGTAGCCACCAGACACTGTCCATAACACCACCCAGTTTTAATTGCCTCCATGTCCCCTGTAACTACTAGAATAGTTTTCTTCTTTCATCACCTCTGTCTGCCAAGCAAATGCAAGTCCCTTGAGAGCTGAGAACTCAATTGTCTTACTAATGTATACCCAAGATAGACAATAGGCATTCACTAAATGCTTTAGGGATTGAAATGAACAAGCAGTAAGTGTGAAACACAAATGAAGATGTCATAATAACCACCCCTTGAAGGGATGTCAAAGGGCTATGTACCTACAAATTCCATGTGGCTTTGGGTCCCAATATAATACAGGCTTTTTTAAGTGTCAATTTATAACTTTTAAAAAATCATCCGTTTATAAGTTCTTTCCATTTGTCACATATATCTACCATTCCTTTAATTATCTTTCTTTTACAAGCCAAAGCTAGAAAACCAACCTCACCAACTGGCCTGAGTTTATGTCTTTGTGAGCACTCAAATTAAAAATAGAGGAATCCATGAATTAGATTTAACACATAACAGGCATCGTTTCAGATTGTAGTTGGTCGTTCTTTTCGAACCAAGATCTGTGGGGCTGAAGCTCCTCTGTAACGTTCTCATTTCTGAAGTTCTACCATATTTTGTTTTCTACCTAACAACCCATCTCCATGTTTAAAACTACCATAGCTACATCTAAGCGATGCCCTGACAGGCAGGGCCATCTTGGAGCCATTCTAATTATGTGACTTTACCCTCTACACAAGGCACTGGGACACAAGGATATTTGACATAAGTCAAGCTTCAATGACCCAAAGGGAGAATATATGCAAATATATACATATGTATATCTAAATAAGACTTGAGACATATACTTAACTATATAATAGGAAAATTTTTTAAGACGAATGTGTTTAAAGAAAATTCCATACCTCTTTGTAGTAGTCTACAAAGGAGATTTCACTGCCATCTGACTTGGTAAATGTGGAGCTGGGAGACATCTCCCAAATAATATCATCCACTCTATAGGTTCTGTTGTTATACCTGCAGAATAATCGTGGAATATATGGTGTTATTCCTGACTTTGGTGCATCGAACCGTGTAAAAAGGGAGTGGTTTAAAATCCTACTCTAATTGTAGGATATATCAGCTTTGTTAAGATTAGTCCACACAACAGGCAATTCAACCCTGTAAGTGTGCAATCTAGTGGTTTTTCGTATATTCACAGACTCATGCAGCCATTAACGTAATTTTAGAATATTTTCATCACCCAAAAAGAAGCACCTTAACTATGAGCTTATGTGTTATATAGTTAAGCTCTTAGTTAAGTATAGTTAAGCTTAACTATAAGTCACCCCTTCTTTCCACCCAGCCTTTAAACCACCACTAGTTTACTTACTGCCCCATGTGTGTAACTCATCACACGTCATATAAATTAAATTATATAATATGCATCTTCCCTGACTGGGTTTCTTCAGGCTTCAGTCACACTGTAGCATGTATTGCTACTTCCTTCCTTTTTACTGACAAATAATATACCATCGTATAGATATACCACATTTGTGTTTATCCATTTACCAGGTGATGAACATTTGGGTTGTTTACACTCAATCTATTGTGAATACTGGTGTTGTAGATAATCATATACCAATTTTGGTTGACATGGTTTTATTTCTCTTGGGTATGTAGAGTGGAATTGCTGGGTCACATGGTAATGCTGAATTTAACACATTGAGGAAATGACAGGCTCCTCAGCGAGGCCACACCAAGTGTATGACGGCTGGTTCCAATTCTTCCACATCCTTGCCAACACTTGTTAACATCTTCCTTTTTCAATTTTAGCTAACCTAGTTAGATAGGAAGTGGCATTTCATTGTGGTTTGAATTTGCATTTCCCTGGTAGCTAATGATATTGAGCATCTTTTCATGTGCTTATTGGCCATTTGTAATTCTAGGTGGAGAAATGTCTATTCAGACTCTCTGCCCTTTTTTTTAAAGTCAAGTTTCTTTCAATTATTGAGTTGCAAATATTCTTTATGCAGCTACACAAAAATTATTTACTACGTGAGATTTGCAAATATTTCCCCCATTCTGCCAGTTGTCTGTTCACCTTTATGACAGTGTTCTTAAAAGAACATTTTGTATTTGGTTAAGTCCAATTTGTTTCTTTTGGCATCACTTGTGCTTTTGGTGACTTTTCTAATAAGGTTTTTACATAACTCAAAGTCAAGTAATTTACTCACGTTTTCTTCTAAAAATTTTATTTAGGTCTATTTTGAGTTAATTTTTTAGTAAATTTGAATTAATTTTGTATATCCTGTGATGAAGGGGCAGGTAAATATACAGCTATCCCAGCAATAGTTGTTGAAAAGACTATTCTTTCCTTGACTTAATTGTCCCCATACCCTTGTCAAAAAGTCAACTGACTTTAATAGTGAGGGTTAAATGCATGAATTCCCCATTCTGTTTCACTGATTTTTATGTCTATCCTTACATCAGCATCACACTGTCTTCATTACTGTAGCTTCACAATACGGTTTGAAATTAGGAAGAGCGAGTCTTCCAACTCTGGTCTTCTTAAGATTGGATTTAAGCTTACTTAGTCAAAATGTCACCCACTCCAGTCCTCTTGCCTGGAAAATCCCAGGGACGGAGGAGCCTGGTAGGCTGCAGTCCATGGGGTCGCTAAGAGTCAGACATGACTGAGCGACTTCACTTTCACTTTTCACTTTCATGCATTGGAGAAGGAAATGGCAACCCACTCCAGTGTTCTTGCCTGGAGAATCCCAGGGACGGGGGAGCCTGGTGGGCTGCCGTCTATGGGGTCGCACAGAGTCGGACACGACTGATGTGACTTAGCAGCAGCAGTCAAAATGTCCTCTTATCAATTTAAGATTTCTAGTGTAGAGGGAGATTAAAAATAAAAACTTCCTTCAAATGGAAATTTGCTACATTATAATTAAGCACAAATTTTAAAAAATAGCTATAGACAAAGAGAAAGGAAAAGAAATTTGGAAGCAGCATACATACCCTCATGTGCAATAAGGGTTCAGAGCCAACGACCAGATTTGCAGTAGGACATACAAGGACTGCCGAGTTTACAACTGACACATACTTCTATGTCGGCGAGAAAAAGTATCTAATGATTCTTACCATTTTCATGCTATTTCTGCTTCTGAATGTCAACATTTAATCATTTTAAAATCCAAGGAACATCTCTAATGAAAAAAAGTAAAAGTGATTGCATAGGTTTTCAAAAAGCAGACTTACTTTGTAAGAACAGATGACCCAACTAATTCTCTAAGAATTTTCTCTTTGGCATCTTCTCCTCTGGCTTTTTCACGAGTGTGTGATATTAAATCATAAGCAGTTTCCATTCGGAGCAGTTTATGGCTCACATCAGCACAGAGAGTAAGACCGATTTCATATGGAAGAATAGAAGTAACATAGCCAGGCCATATTTCCAACCTGCAAACAAGTTAGGTGTGGGTGTCAAGATCCCGGCTCTGGACGTAAAGCCAAGTGGTAGGGGCCCTAAACTCACTGTCCAAAATGGGTACTGTTAGTGTCAGCTTTAGTCTCTTATTTTTAATAATCACTGACCTTTTGAAGGACCTTCAAATAGAGATTTTTACTAGGTGTGCTAGTTAAAAGTAATACATCTTTGTTAAATCATTTTTATTACCACTTGCAGGCTTAAACTATTGTATATACTCATGTGAGACTATATATGATATATAAGATGTAAATTATATATACATATACCAATGAGTAATAGACATACATAGAGGCAAGTGTTGGATTGACTATAATTTCAGAGAAATTATCCAAGATTCAGATGATTGATTTCCTAAGGTTTATACAATAACTGACCATCTTAAAAGTTTATGTTTATCATGCCAGGAATTTTTAGGGTAAATAAATTTTGAAGTTCAAATTATAAATTCAGTTGTAACTTAGTTGTTCACAGTCATTGGAGAGTATTTAAAAGATCACTTGTAAATCATACACCAGTGCAGATGAGCAACTTTCTCAAAGGTTTCTATGATTATGTCTATAGAATGTGAGACTTCACACTTCATAGACCACTTCATACATACCTATACTCATTGAACTCAGTCTTCTTATTTTTATTGTAATAGTTGCGACCAATTTGGTTCAAATCCATCTTTTCCAACATTCTAGAAATGGAAGAACAGGTTTTGTTGAAAGTGTAGTGAATATTAGTAAGCATTTGTTAATACACATAAGGATGCATTAGAGAGGGAGATGATCTGTCAGTGGTTTTCTTTATACTAACAACACAAAATGCCTGATAATGACTATTAATGACAAGTAAATTATTAATACACTGAGGTGAATACTGAAGTCAATTTAACCTCAAATTTTCTCTTTCATAATATAAGACAGTATTACATGGAAAGGCCATCAGTATGTATGTCCTTCGTTCCTAGAAATGAATCGAAACATCTTTTGCAGTCGATGTGTTCCAAGTTTTGACTATTTGTTCATTACCGTGAGTCTAGAACAGACAACAAGTATATTTGCTCTAGAAAGGAATAAGCATGGGTATACATAGCTGATGTCTATCACTTCTCCGAGACAGGTTCCCGACAGGGAAGGCAGAGGTGGGCAGGAAGTGGAATACTGGAGAAACCCATGGAATTTGCACGTGCCTAGCGAAAGCCCCAGTGTCCTTGCATCTCAGAAGATCCTCCACCCTCTCAGAACGCGGGACTCGTCAAGAACACAGAACGCTGGAAGCACGCGGCTGTGTTCGGCATCACTGACACACAGCAGTGTGGGTCAACTGAATCCGAAGGAAAGCATCTTACATACTTTCTAAAGAGAATGTTGTAATAGCGGAGGCAGTCTGGAGAAGTGGTCTGGAGTTCTCTGGAGAGCTCGAAGGTTATCGTCACAGGTTCATTTTTCAACTTGCTGACCACTTCCTTTTTCTGAGAGGAAGAAAAAAAAAAAAATTCCCTTAGTTCTTCCAAGGAAACTAAGCTCCACCGTGACAGATTGAATTGTCACTTGGCTGCCCCGCACAGCACAAGTGCTAGGAGCAGTCTCTCCCACAGAAAGGCAGACGCAGGCAAAAGATGGGATGGGCAAGACCAAAGCGAAGAGCCAGAATTACATGTGCAAGTCAAACTTTCATTTAAGCAAGTTCCTATGAATTACTTGACCCTCTACCGTAGAAGTTTATAGGATAAAGCAGTAAGTCCTTCTCCTAATGTGTTTTTTTCCTCCTGTTTAAAAAAAGAGAGAGAGAAAAGGAGGGAACAGGGAATTTTTAAAATTGTTTTTTCTGCGGTTTAGTTGCTCAGTTTTATCTGACTCTTTGGCGACCCCATGGACTCTAGCCCTCCAGGGTTCCTCAGTCGATCGGGTTTCCCAGGAAAGAATGCTGGAGTGGGTTGCCATTATTCAACTTCAGTATCAGCATTTGAAACATATTGTGCCATCAAAAAAGGTAAAAGTTATATTTTACCTTTATGTCAAATAAATTCAGTTTAGGCAGTGAGATGAAACGCTATATACTGTCAGTGAAAATTAAACATGGTACGTGGGTCAGTTACAAGTCCTATGGGCAAGGAGTGTTTAGGATTTCTCCACAAACTGTTGCCCAGGAATGGTGAGACTCTGGCTACTCTAGAGTGAAAAACGGGAGAGAAGAACAATGTAGAATGCTACTACAGATGTGGTAGAAGAACGCAGAAAGCATGTAGGAAGATGTAGAATACTACTTAACCGTTTCCCCCAGCGAGTGAGGCAACAGCAGAGATTTTCCATCGTATATACAACGATTTCCCAGGAACTTTTCAAGTTCAGAGAGTAAAGCTTCCCGTTTGCTTCCATCCTCTATGTCTGGTGTGTAGATGACTTTGTACTTGTATAAATGCTTCTGAGAGCAAGACTTGAGCCGGACATGATTCGAAAGTAGCATTACCGGGCTACCTTGCGTGCCTGGGAAAATGGAACCCTGTGTCAGTCGTGAGATAGTCTGGCTGATCAGGCCCCAAACAGACGACCTGGACACCATGGTATTGAGAGCCAGAGTCAGATCCAACAAGGGAGGTGGTCAGCAAACGACATAAGCAGTTATATACGCCTGGCATCAGAATCCCTCACCTGAGTTTAGGTGAGTCCTTATGCAAACCCACATTTAGGAAGTTCAAGCAGACAGGTATTTAACAGAGGTATTTAAATACAGGTACTTAACAGATATATTTCTATATTTAACAGAAATATCAAAAGAAAACGTCTGCAGCACAAATGTCCCAAAAGCTGGGGGTTGGGGGAGGGGAGCCACTGTATATAATAATGTTTTATTTTGGGGGAGGGTGCAGTTTATTAATCAGTATGTCTCAGCACAACCAAAGAACTGGATCATTCTATCTTAGTGTGTCTATAAAAGGAAGAGAGGAAAATGAGTTATCTCCAGGACTCTAAAGTCAGTCTTAATTTCTGCAAAAGTGAAAGTTATTATAAAAATGTAAGAATGTGAGAGGGTACCTCCACTTAAAGTGATGGTATAAAACATCACAGATACTTAAACAACAACATAAAATTGTATTGTTAATGGCCAGCATACCTTTTGTCGACTCTCTAACGTGGACCAAATTCTGCCGAGTATTTACCACAAAGTCTTGATAATCTCTACCAACATCCCTCGTCTTCCTCAGCAAGGATCCCTGTGATCCAGATGGCGGTGGAAGTTCTTCAACGTACAAACAAGCATGACAGTTGTCAATTTACACAAAAAGGAGAATGTAGCTAGAAAGGACAATATTACACCCCAGCTATTAAGATTTTTTGAGGTAGAAAGGATAGCAAAGGAACCAAACATTATTTAGCAATGGGTCATCAGAAAAGAGGGCTTCCCTGGTGGCACAGTGGTAAAGAATCCACCTGCCAATGCAGGAGACCCAGGTTCAATCCCTGGGTCAGGAAGATCCCCTGGAGAAGGAAATGGCTACCCACTCTAATATTCTTGCCTGGAGAATCCCAGGGACGGCGGAGCCTGGTGGGCTGCCGTCTATGGGGTCACACAGAGTCGGACACGACTGATGTGACTTAGCAGCAGCAGTCAAAATGTCCTCTTATCAATTTAAGATTTCTAGTGTAGAGGGAGATTAAAAATAAAAACTTCCTTCAAATGGAAATTTGCTACATTATAATTAAGCACAAATTTTAAAAAATAGCTATAGACAAAGAGAAAGGAAAAGAAATTTGGAAGCAGCATACATACCCTCATGTGCAATAAGGGTTCAGAGCCAACGACCAGATTTGCAGTAGGACATACAAGGACTGCCGAGTTTACAACTGACACATACTTCTATGTCGGCGAGAAAAAGTATCTAATGATTCTTACCATTTTCATGCTATTTCTGCTTCTGAATGTCAACATTTAATCATTTTAAAATCCAAGGAACATCTCTAATGAAAAAAAGTAAAAGTGATTGCATAGGTTTTCAAAAAGCAGACTTACTTTGTAAGAACAGATGACCCAACTAATTCTCTAAGAATTTTCTCTTTGGCATCTTCTCCTCTGGCTTTTTCACGAGTGTGTGATATTAAATCATAAGCAGTTTCCATTCGGAGCAGTTTATGGCTCACATCAGCACAGAGAGTAAGACCGATTTCATATGGAAGAATAGAAGTAACATAGCCAGGCCATATTTCCAACCTGCAAACAAGTTAGGTGTGGGTGTCAAGATCCCGGCTCTGGACGTAAAGCCAAGTGGTAGGGGCCCTAAACTCACTGTCCAAAATGGGTACTGTTAGTGTCAGCTTTAGTCTCTTATTTTTAATAATCACTGACCTTTTGAAGGACCTTCAAATAGAGATTTTTACTAGGTGTGCTAGTTAAAAGTAATACATCTTTGTTAAATCATTTTTATTACCACTTGCAGGCTTAAACTATTGTATATACTCATGTGAGACTATATATGATATATAAGATGTAAATTATATATACATATACCAATGAGTAATAGACATACATAGAGGCAAGTGTTGGATTGACTATAATTTCAGAGAAATTATCCAAGATTCAGATGATTGATTTCCTAAGGTTTATACAATAACTGACCATCTTAAAAGTTTATGTTTATCATGCCAGGAATTTTTAGGGTAAATAAATTTTGAAGTTCAAATTATAAATTCAGTTGTAACTTAGTTGTTCACAGTCATTGGAGAGTATTTAAAAGATCACTTGTAAATCATACACCAGTGCAGATGAGCAACTTTCTCAAAGGTTTCTATGATTATGTCTATAGAATGTGAGACTTCACACTTCATAGACCACTTCATACATACCTATACTCATTGAACTCAGTCTTCTTATTTTTATTGTAATAGTTGCGACCAATTTGGTTCAAATCCATCTTTTCCAACATTCTAGAAATGGAAGAACAGGTTTTGTTGAAAGTGTAGTGAATATTAGTAAGCATTTGTTAATACACATAAGGATGCATTAGAGAGGGAGATGATCTGTCAGTGGTTTTCTTTATACTAACAACACAAAATGCCTGATAATGACTATTAATGACAAGTAAATTATTAATACACTGAGGTGAATACTGAAGTCAATTTAACCTCAAATTTTCTCTTTCATAATATAAGACAGTATTACATGGAAAGGCCATCAGTATGTATGTCCTTCGTTCCTAGAAATGAATCGAAACATCTTTTGCAGTCGATGTGTTCCAAGTTTTGACTATTTGTTCATTACCGTGAGTCTAGAACAGACAACAAGTATATTTGCTCTAGAAAGGAATAAGCATGGGTATACATAGCTGATGTCTATCACTTCTCCGAGACAGGTTCCCGACAGGGAAGGCAGAGGTGGGCAGGAAGTGGAATACTGGAGAAACCCATGGAATTTGCACGTGCCTAGCGAAAGCCCCAGTGTCCTTGCATCTCAGAAGATCCTCCACCCTCTCAGAACGCGGGACTCGTCAAGAACACAGAACGCTGGAAGCACGCGGCTGTGTTCGGCATCACTGACACACAGCAGTGTGGGTCAACTGAATCCGAAGGAAAGCATCTTACATACTTTCTAAAGAGAATGTTGTAATAGCGGAGGCAGTCTGGAGAAGTGGTCTGGAGTTCTCTGGAGAGCTCGAAGGTTATCGTCACAGGTTCATTTTTCAACTTGCTGACCACTTCCTTTTTCTGAGAGGAAGAAAAAAAAAAAAATTCCCTTAGTTCTTCCAAGGAAACTAAGCTCCACCGTGACAGATTGAATTGTCACTTGGCTGCCCTGCACAGCACAAGTGCTAGGAGCAGTCTCTCCCACAGAAAGGCAGACGCAGGCAAAAGATGGGATGGGCAAGACCAAAGCGAAGAGCCAGAATTACATGTGCAAGTCAAACTTTCATTTAAGCAAGTTCCTATGAATTACTTGACCCTCTACCGTAGAAGTTTATAGGATAAAGCAGTAAGTCCTTCTAATGTGTTTTTTTCCCTCCTGTTTAAAAAAAGAGAGAGAAAAGGAGGGAACAGGGAATTTTAAAAATTGTTTTTTCTGCGGTTTAGTTGCTCAGTTTTATCTGACTCTTTGGTGACCCCATGGACTCTAGCCCTCCAGGGCTCCTCAGTCGATCGGGTTTCCCAGGAAAGAATGCTGGAGTGGGTTGCCATTATTCAACTTCAGTATCAGCATTTGAAACATATTGTGCCATCAAAAAAGGTAAAAGTTATATTTTACCTTTATGTCAAATAAATTCAGTTTAGGCAGTGAGATGAAACACTATATACTGTCAGTGAAAATTAAACATGGTACGTGGGTCAGTTACAAGTCCTATGGGCAAGGAGTGTTTAGGATTTCTCCACAAACTGTTGCCCAGGAATGGTGAGACTCTGGCTACTCTAGAGTGAAAAACGGGAGAGAAGAACAATGTAGAATGCTACTACAGATGTGGTAGAAGAACGCAGAAAGCATGTAGGAAGATGTAGAATACTACTTAACCGTTTCCCCCAGCGAGTGAGGCAACAGCAGAGATTTTCCATCGTATATACAACGATTTCCCAGGAACTTTTCAAGTTCAGAGAGTAAAGCTTCCCGTTTGCTTCCATCCTCTATGTCTGGTGTGTAGATGACTTTGTACTTGTATAAATGCTTCTGAGAGCAAGACTTGAGCCGGACATGATTCGAAAGTAGCATTACCGGGCTACCTTGCGTGCCTGGGAAAATGGAACCCTGTGTCAGTCGTGAGATAGTCTGGCTGATCAGGCCCCAGACAGACGACCTGGACACCATGGTATTGAGAGCCAGAGTCAGATCCAACAAGGGAGGTGGTCAGCAAACGACATAAGCAGTTATATACGCCTGGCATCAGAATCCCTCACCTGAGTTTAGGTGAGTCCTTATGCAAACCCACATTTAGGAAGTTCAAGCAGACAGGTATTTAACAGAGGTATTTAAATACAGGTACTTAACAGATATATTTCTATATTTAACAGAAATATCAAAAGAAAACGTCTGCAGCACAAATGTCCCAAAAGCTGGGGGTTGGGGGAGGGGAGCCACTGTATATAATAATGTTTTATTTTGGGGGAGGGTGCAGTTTATTAATCAGTATGTCTCAGCACAACCAAAGAACTGGATCATTCTATCTTAGTGTGTCTATAAAAGGAAGAGAGGAAAATGAGTTATCTCCAGGACTCTAAAGTCAGTCTTAATTTCTGCAAAAGTGAAAGTTATTATAAAAATGTAAGAATGTGAGAGGGTACCTCCACTTAAAGTGATGGTATAAAACATCACAGATACTTAAACAACAACATAAAATTGTATTGTTAATGGCCAGCATACCTTTTGTCGACTCTCTAACGTGGACCAAATTCTGCCGAGTATTTACCACAAAGTCTTGATAATCTCTACCAACATCCCTCGTCTTCCTCAGCAAGGATCCCTGTGATCCAGATGGCGGTGGAAGTTCTTCAACGTACAAACAAGCATGACAGTTGTCAATTTACACAAAAAGGAGAATGTAGCTAGAAAGGACAATATTACACCCCAGCTATTAAGATTTTTTGAGGTAGAAAGGATAGCAAAGGAACCAAACATTATTTAGCAATGGGTCATCAGAAAAGAGGGCTTCCCTGGTGGCACAGTGGTAAAGAATCCACCTGCCAATGCAGGAGACCCAGGTTCAATCCCTGGGTCAGGAAGATCCCCTGGAGAAGGAAATGGCTACCCACTCTAATATTCTTGCCTGGAGAATCCCACGGACCGAGGAGCCTGGTGGGTTATAGTCCATGGGATCACAAAGAGTTGGACACAACAGAGCGACTAACACTGCCATGTATTAAGCATTCTCTGCCCCTCACGGAATCTTTCTTCCTCCCTCCTTTTACCTGAAGGCTGAGGCGTCGCTTCTGCTCCTGCTGGTGGCCCAGCCCCAGCCACGTGTCTAACACCCGTCAGTGACTGGAGTCTAGGCTGGATCTGACGAGGTTGCTGAGCCTGCATGTTTTGGGAGATAGAGTAATGTTATCCATATGTTCAACTATCATCCACAGGTTATCATATGCCTGCCATGCGCCATAATGCATGTATCAGGGCAGAAAGCAAAGAAACTTCCTTGAAAAGCTTATATTCCAGTGACAGAAAATAAATCAACAATTAACTGATATAGCGTGAATATGATAATTGCTGGGGAAATGAAAAAAAAATAGGAGGAAGCCAAGTATGGAAAATACTGGAAAGGTGGGGTGTGAAGGAGGCTGGTGGTCTTGACTCATGGGGGACAGAGCCTCAGTGAGAAGCTGACACTGCAACAAAGACTGAGAGGAGGCGAGTTAACAAGTTACACAAACCTCAGGTAGAAGACACGGCAAAGCTCCTAAGGGAGAAAAGCTCGAGGGAGAGCAAGATGAACAGGGAGGGGGACGCAGGAGGGCTCAGAGGGGCAGCGGAGGGGCGGCCAGCTGAAGGGATTCGCCTCCGGCTCTGAGAAAACAGGAGCCCTCACAGGCTGTGGGCGGGACGTGAACCTGAGGTAATCTGGTCCGATGCTGGGAACAGACTGAGGGTGAGGCCAGGGCAAAAGCATGCTGAGTTAGGAGGCTGTTCGTGGGCTGCAGCCAGGGACGCTGGTGGTTCGGCCCAGAGGGTAGTGATAGAGAGGGTGAGAAATGATCAAAGACTGGATTGTTTTCTGTAAGTCAGGGGGGACGGAAGTACTTCCTGGTGGTTTCTGTGAAGTGAGGTCAAAAGAGGATAAATCCGAAGGTTTCGGCCTAAACAAGTGTAAGAAGGGGATTTTATCAAGTGAAGTAGTTCAGAACTGTCTGGGAGGGCAAATCAGGAACGTGAGACATCCATGGGGACGTTCCTCTGTGCAGGAGAGGGGTCTGGCTGGAGATATAAACAGGGGAACCTGTCCACTTACCAAATCACACTTAACAGCCATGATACCGCTAAGATGACCAAGGGTGTGAGCGCATGGACCAAGGAGAAGAGGCCCAAGGATGAGGCCCTGGGCATTTGAAGAGCACAGGAGGAGAGCCCAGCCAAGGGAAGCTTCCAGCAGTGGCCAGTGAAGTCAGCAGAAAGCCAAGGGTGTGTGGTGACGGGACCACCACTCAAGGAGGAGACGACCAAGGAGAGAAGAGGGCTCGACGGTTCCACGTGTAAGCGATAGGCCAGGGCCGCGGAGGACTGACCTGGAGGACTGACCGAGTGGAGGATACTGGGGAAGCCTGACCAGAGCCTTTTCAGCAGAGGGATGGGGGAGACCCCTGGCTGGAGTGAATGGACAAGACGGAAATAAGGGCTGGCGTTCAGAGTAGACACCACACTTCTTTGATGAGAAGCAAAGAGAAGGAAAGTTAACTGTGGGGAAAGCGGAATCCACGAGAGGATTCTTGTTGGTGGAAGTCAGCTCAGCTGGATGTAGGCAGAGGGGAATGACCTAGGACTGGGGAGATAAGAAAGGAGAACCGCAGGAGAGATTCAGGGGATGGAGAGTTGGCTCAGGGACCTCAGGCAGGAGCAGAGCCAGTGCCCTGGGGACTCGGGTGAGGGGCCAAGGCCAGGATGTGGAGATTCAGTGAAGACAGCACCGAAGTTCTGCTTGGGTGCCGTATTTGTCTCAGTGACGTAGAAGCTGATGTCGGAGGCTGAAAGTGAAGACGGAGGAGGAGCCACAGGAGTGTAGAGCAGGCAGCAGGTGGGGAGGACGGGGGGTCAACAGTCCTGGAGGAGAAAGAATGGGACCGCTGGGGTCATGGGACTGCCGGGCCAGCACCGGGATCAGTCAGAGGTTGTGAAAGCCAGACCCACCCACCCCTCCTCAGCACACAAAGAGGATAGGGGATAAGAGAAGACCGAGATGCCTGGAGACAGCAGGGATACCGAGTTTTAAGCAAAACGGGAAATTCTGTCCAACTCAGTCTGTTCACACGCTTGAATAAAATCGCCCGCTTTGAGGTCACTCCCCAAAGAGGAGTTACTGGCTGAGGCCAAGGGATCTGGGTGCCTCTCCACCCACTCAGGTTTGGAAGAAAGCCTGTGTGCATCTGCGAAGACACACAGGAGAAAGGGAAGCAAGCGGTGGAGACAAAGCCTACCACAGGGCAGCCCAGCCGTAGTCTCCGCAGGAGAGCGCTCCATAGCAGGAGAGGAGCTATTCCAGCTGAGCCACCAGCCTCCCTCTTCTCTGGAAAGGCAGCATCTTTTGCATAGAGGTAACTACGTGAGGGAGCTCACCGCTGTGCCTCGTTTCACTAAGTCAGCGAAGCTCAGTGGAGGCTCGGTTCCGGGCACTCGAGGCGTTGGGGGCCCCCTCGCCGCCTCCGGCGGAGCCGGCTCCAAGGGTGGTGTGTCCCGCCGTCTGCCTCGGGCGTGAACTCTGGCCCTGCCAGTCATTGCTGTCCTGAATCCGATGGCCCTGAAGGGGGAGACCCTTAAAGACAGTTATGTTAGACATCTCTGCACTGTTGCCTGGGAATTTTTTTTTTTTTTTTTTTTTACTGTAAGCATCACCTGATGCTTACACCACACCAATGAAAGGGACTGCCGCCAAATTAGTCAGAGGAGTGTCCTGTAATAAAAGATGGGGGACCTAGGAAGATACTCGTGGGAGTTTAAGAAGATTGTTGATTGTGATTCTTTTCCTCACATGCATTCACAAGGCACTATGGTCAAAGCGCTTGCTTGTATTAGTCGGGTGTGTCCTGAGTTCTTACCTACGAGGCATCCCCATAGCACAGTGAGGAGCCCAAATGTGCCCTAGACTTTAACACACACACACACACACACACACCTACCCTTAAATTGCTACCACACACACACCCACACCCACAAACTGCTAGTCCACACACCCACCCACACACACACCCTTACACTGTGACTCCACCCTCCTGTCTCTGGTCTTGGCCCTCTGGACTTGGCCCACACAGCTCACCTTCTGTCTTTCCTCCTCTGGGATTAGGAAGATCTGTGTGTGATGCGCCCACAGTTCTGTGCCCTCGGGTCCCTCTCCTCCAGCCCCACGGTGTCTGAACACCAATTTCTGCGGGGTTAGAGGTGCAGACCTCCTTTCCGAAAGAGTTATCCCTCCCTAGGACACAGCCCTGCGCCCCCAAAGCAGTCACCAAGCAGAGGCGGGACTGGAGAGAGGACCGGCCTGGCTGCCTTGAGGGATGCACCTCACCGCCCCCGCCAGCAGGGCCCACCCCAATTTCAATTTCAAGCCTGCTGCCCCGCCTCTTCCGGCGCCACCTGCATCCGGGCCCAAGTGCAGCCGACTCTTGAGTCACACCTGGCGAGGTTAAGCGGTGCTCTGAGCGTCAGTGGGAGGGGTTGAGGGGCTGCTCTGCCTGCCCTCAGGCCCACCTGATCCTGCCTCTCAGCCACTCACCGATTAACCTGCCAGGTGACTTTACCAAATGACGTGCACTTGAAACTCCAGAAACTTATGTCCTTGGCACTTAATTGTTGTTGTTGTTGTTAAGCTGCTAAGTCATGTCTGACTCTTCTGTGCCAACCCCGTGGACTGAAGCCTGGCCCGTTACAGCCGAACCCTCTGTCCATGGGATTTCCCAAGCAAGAATACTGGAGTGGGTTGTCCTTTCCTTCTTCAGGGAATATCCCCAATCCAGGGATTGAACCCACATCTCCTACTTGGCAGGCAGATTCTTTACCACTGAGCCACCTGGGAAACCCTTAGCACTTAATACTTGAAGTAAATCCCTGCTGTTGCCAATTTTGGCTACGTTGTAGCTGCTGCGACCGTCTTTGGACTCTAACATTGGTGCCTCCCTAATCATCTCCTTGACACACACATCCCTACAAGAGGATTTGCAGTGATTTGTAAGCCAAGTATTGGAGGTCGTTTTTGTAGATGATGTTTGTTGTATTCTGCCTGCAATGCAGGAGACACAGGTTCGATCCCTGGGTTGGGAAGATCCCCCAGAGGAGGAACGCATTCCTATTCTTGCCTAGGAGATCCCATAGAGACAGGAGCCTGGCAGGCTACAGTCCATGGGGTCGCAAAGAGTCGGACACAACTGAGAATATGTGTTAATTGTTTCCAGGTTTTGTCATTCATTGCCTTTGCCACTTAAAGTAAAAAAGTAAAAGTAAAGTGGAAGTCGCTCAGTCGTGTCTGACTCTTTGCGACCCCATGGACTATACAGTCCATGGAATTCTCCAGGCCAGAATACTGGAGTGGGTAGCCTTTCCCTTTTCCAGGGGATCTTCCCAACCCAGGGATCGAACCCAGGTCTCCTGCATTGCAGGCAGATTCTTTTCCAGTTGAGCCACAAGAGAACAAAGTTTTTAAAATCATGAATTCTTTCTTTCAATATTTTCATAGTTGCATTGTTCTGCACTTAATTCCTTGATGTACACATTGAATATCCATTTTAATTACGAGAAAGTTACTGACACTTGAATAAACCTCACCTTACTGCTTTGAAATTCCTGTGTTACCCAACAGAAACCTGTGTGCACACTCAGCTCTGAAATGATCCTAAAGATTAAAAAAGCCTAAAAGTGCTCAAAAATTTCTGGCTGTTCTTTTAAATATATTTTTTCAAATGAACTTTAGAATCCTTNGTCCCCCCTCCCACCTCCCTCTCCACCCGATCCCTCTGGGTCTTCCCAGTGCACCAGGCCCGAGCACTTGTCTCATGCACCCTCTTTTCTATACATCGGAAGATGCAAGAGTCTGGGCTCATTGAAATCGCTCCTTCGATAAGCACCCTTGCTGTCGAGGGCTGGTGTCCTGTTCTTTCCCGTCTGGGTGTATCCCTGTGGTCCTGATGGTATCCTGGTGTCCCTGTCTGGGTGCATGGATGTGGGTGGCTACAGTGGCTGAGGGCTTGGCAGTGAGCCATCAGTTTCCGTCCTGAGTCCCCTCGTGGCTCCTGGAGGAGAGGGCAGCTGCGTTGACTGATGGTAGCAGCATCCTTTGTTTACTGATAAGGCAGTAAAGGATTTTCATCCATGAGGAAAATGAGGAGACCGAAGCTGAGATTGACACAGCAGTGGAAGTACGGAGCCTTAACCACTGCACTCCCAGGGAAGTCCCAAGAAATCATTTAGCTTTAACTAGAATGTTCAGTTCAGTTGCTCAGTTGTGTCTGACTCTTTGCGACCCCGTGGACTGCAGCATGCCAGGCCTCCCTGTCCATCACCAGCTCCCAGAGTTTAGATCCATGAAGGGTAAAGATCAATCAGAAGCAGATACCAAAGAATGTGGGACTTGAGATACAAATTAGATCCACACTAGGATCTGCCAGTTCCTGAAACAAGTGGGGCAGAGCTGGAACCAGCCCCTAAGCCTCCTAGCCCAGTGGGATGGACTTCTGTTGGAGGAGTGGGATGAGAAAGCCAGGGCTGTCGTTACTAATTGATTACTGTGCTCTTCCCAGCCAGACCTGGATGTGGCCTCAGATTTTCTTGAACAGAGCTCCAGAATTCCAGAACCAACCACCTGCAGTTGGACATCAGGATGAAGCCTGACCCAACGAACCTGTAACTCAGAAGACACATGCACCCTATGTTCACAACAGCACCATTCACAATAGCCATGACATGGAAACAGCCTAAATGTCCATTGACCGCTAAATGGGTAAAGAAAATGTGTGTGTGCGTGTGTGTGTATAGATACTGCTGCTGCTGCTGCTGAGTCACGTCAGTCGTGTCCGACTCTGTGAGACCCCATAGACGGCAGCCCACCAGGCTCCCCCGTCCCTGGGATTCTCCAGGCAAGAACACTGGAGTGGGTTGCCATTTCCTTCTCCAATATAAATACTGCTCAGCCATAAAAAAGAATGAATAATGCCGTTTACAGCTACATGGATGGACCTAGAGATTATCATAGTATGTGAAGTAAATCAGAAAGAGAGAGACAAATGCCATATGGTATCACTTATATGATAAATCTAAAATATGATGCAAATGAAAGAAAGTGAAAGTCTTAGTTGTTCAGTTGTGTCCCACTATTTTGCAACCCCATGGACTACAGACTGCCAGACTCCTCAGTCCATGGAATATCCCAGGCAAGAATACTGGAGTGGGTTGCCGTTTCTTTCTCCAGGGGATCTTCCCGACCCAGGGATCGAACCCGCGTCTCCTGCATCTCCTGCCTTGGCGGGTGGACTCCTTACCACTGAGCCATCTGTACAAAACAGAAACCAGCTCACAGACATAGAGAGCAGGCTTGTGATCACCGAGGGGTGAGGAGGCGGGGGAAGGACAGACTGGAAGTCCGGGATTAGCAGATGCAAACTATTATACAGAGAATGGATAAACAGCAGGGTCCTACTGTACAGCACAGGGAACTATATTCAGTATCCTGTGCCCGTAATGGAAAAGAATATGAAAAAGAATGTGTGTGTAAAATGGAATCACTTTGCTATACAGCACAAATTAACACATTGTAGGTCAGCTATACTAAAATAAAAAATACGTTTTAAAAAGCTATGACTGAGAATGTTGGAGAAAATAATATACATGTATAAACATTTTCTTTACTTATTTGTCTGCCAGTGGAGGTATAAATTGCTTCCATGGGTTAGCTGTAGTAATTGATGCTGCTATGAAAACGGGTGTACAAATATCTTTGAGATCTTGCTTTCAATTCCTTTAGGTATACACCTGAAAGTGAAGTTGCTGGTAATTCTGTTTTTTTGTTTTTTTGGTAATTCTGTTTTTAACTAAGCACCATGGTGTTCCTTAGTAACTGCAGCATTTTAAATTCCCACCAACTGTCTACAAAGCTAACAATTCCTCCACATCCTCGCCAACACTTGTCTTTTGTTTCTTTGATAGTAACCCTTGTGATGGATGTGAGGTGGCACCTCCTTGTAGCTTTCCATTTGTGTTTGCTAATGACTAGTAATGTTGAGCATCTTTTCACATGTTTGTTGGCCACTTGTATATACTTTTGAAATTCTGTTCAACTCCTTTGCACGTTTTTAATTGTAACATTAGTTTTTTATTGAACTTACAAGAGTTCCTTATATATCCTGACACTTCTTCTATATATCCTGAATATTAACTCCTTATGTTGTTGTTTAATCGCTAAGTCATGTCCAACTCTTTGCAACCCTATGGATGGTAATCCTCCAGGCTTCTCAGTCCGAAGGATTCTCCAGGCAAGAATAACTGAACTGAGTTGCCGTTTCCTTCTCCAGGAAATCTTCCCAACCCAATTGTCGAACCTGAGTCTCTTGTGTTGGCGGCCAGATTCTTTACCACTGAGTCACCAGGGAAGCCCAACCCCTAATGAACAATTTTCAAATATATCCTCTCATTCCCTCAAATTGCCTTTTTTAAAATTCTGTGTATTGTGTCCTTTGATGCACCTAAGTTTTTAATTTTGATGTAGTCCACTTATGTATTTTTATTTTGTTGCCTGTGCTTTTGGTGTCACATCCAGGAAATCACTGCTGACCTTTGAGGACCTACTTCATAGCACAGGAGACTCCGTCTAATGTTATGTGACAGTCTGGGTGGGAGGGAGTTTGGGGGAGAGTGGATACAGGTATATGTATGACTGAGTCCCTTTGCTGTTTACCTGAAGCCATCACAACATTGTTTGTAAATCAGCTATACCCCAACACAAAGTAAAAAGTTCAGTAAACATAAATACATAAAAAGGAAAAAAAAGAAAGTATTGCCAACCCAATGTCATGTAGCTTTTGCCCTGCTTTCTTCAAATTTTATAGATTTCACTCTTAAGTTTAGATATTTGATCAGTTTTGAATTAACTTTTGTATATGGCATAAAGTGAGGATCCAACTTCATAATTCCATGAATCTTTATGGCATTTCTTCCTGTTTCTGTCTCAACCTTGGCCATCACACAAGCTTCCCACTCACTGCCCACGTGGATGCCTCCACCCAAGCAGCTGTCTGCACCTGGGGTAGAGAGCCATGAGGTGGCGCTGTTGTCTCTTGCGAATCTCGGTGACGATAAATCTACATTAGAGTAATTATGGAGTGGGCCTCCAGGATAGCTCAGTTGGTAAAGAATCTGCGTGCAGTGCAGGAGATCCCGCTTCGATTTCTGGCTCGGGAAGATCCGCTGGAGAAGGGATAGGCTACCCACTCCAGTGTTCTTGGGCTTCCCTTGCGGCTCAGCTGATAAAGAATCTGCCGCCAATGCAGGAGATCTGGGTTCGATACCCGGATTGGGAAGATGCCCTGGAGAAGGAAAAGGCTACCCACTCCAGTGTTCTGGCCTGGAGAATTCCAAGGACTGTACGGCGTCCCAAAGAGTCGGACATGACAGAGCGAGTTTCACTTACAATTACGGAACGTCCGCGGGAGACCCAGGTTCAATCCTTGGGTCTGGAAGATCCCCTGGGGAAAGGAACGGCTACCCACTCCAGGATTCTTGCCTGGAGAATTCCATGGGCAGAGGAGACTGGCGGGCTACAGTCCACGGGGTCGCAAAGAGCCAGACATGACTGAGACTGAGCGATAAATGCGACCAAGGCCTCCCCACAGGCCTCCTCGTCACTGGGTCATCTCAGTGACCCGCAGAAGGGGCAGTGGGTCACAGGGAGGCAGCGCTGCTCGTCCAAGGTCCCAGAGCTAGGAGGTATCAGAGACAGGGTTCAGATCCGTAAGCCAGAGGCGGAAGACTCCTGTAGTGAAATTGTGGGTGCACCAACACCAGCCGTCCCCGCCTGGGGAAAGGCCATGGTTTTTTTCCTTTTTTCCTGAAATTAGATGCTTCCTACCCTTTAGGTGTTAAGACGGTTTTTCTTCTATGAAGTATGGAGACAGTAGATTTGTGGTGGGTTTTTGTGTCCTTAGTAACCAAAATTTAAAATTCCTGGAAATTCCCTAGAGGTCCAGTGGTACAGTGAAAGTACAGCTCAGGGATAAAGTGATTTAATATATGTATATACACATATATATTTTCTTTTTCAGATTCTTTTTCATTATAGGTTATTAGCATTTATTTAGATATTTATTTTTTTAATGTAAATTATAGTTTATTTATAATATGACGTCAGTTTCAAGTGTATAGCATGGGGATTGAGTTACACATACATATGTAATCTCTTTTTTTTCAGATTCTTTTCCATCTATGTGGAAAGAAAATAGGCCTTTTTGAATCAGGAGTTTGTGACAAACCACAGCAAGGCACTTGCATGGCATTAGGACATTTAAAAAAATTAAAATGTGGGCCAGTGGTTGGGGCTCTGTGCTTCCACTGTGGGGGGCACAGGTTCTATTCCTGTTAGGGGAACTAGGATCCCACATGGACAGTGCACAACCTAAATTAATTACTTAAATTATCTAATCCTGTAGATATCTGTGGCCTCCACAATATCACTATAGGATTCCTCTTCTAAATAAGAGTAAAATCACTTTTGTACAACACCACCCATGTGTACAAGTGTAAGACCATCTTCCCAGGAATAATTGCTCAGTCTGAGTTTAATTTCCATACATTTTGCTTTCCTGATTTCATAGGGTCAGAGTCACCTCTTTAAGCCTCCAAAAACCACATTAGTTGGATCTTTTAAGGCCCAG